CACTTTGCAATGCACAGGAAAGATCCTCCGTGAGAGATAAAGTAAAATTCACATCGGGAAAACAGCAACTGATTATTTTAATACAAATACTCAAGTTTAAAATTTTGATTTCTCACTTTAAGAAATATGGGGAATTTAAATGAAGAAACTTGTGTTCCTGGGGCTGTAGAGATGGCTCAGCGGTTAAGAACACTGGCTGTTCTTGCAGAAAACCGGGGTTCGAAGCCCAGCACCCAAACAACTGTCCGTAATGCCAGTCCCAGGGATCCAACAACCTCTTCTGACCTACAAATGCACTGCACGACACGGGTGCATTTACCTACATGCAGGCAATACACGCATACACATAAAATAATAAATAAAATATTTTTAAAAAATACATGTTATATGCTGTAACTCAATTATCACTTAAGCTACAGCCCAGAGAACACTGAGGATTTGCTCACTATGTGTCTGGAAAGTACATTAATTGGTTCAACAAGTTAAAGTCATTTTTTCTACCACTCTGAAAAACCTACTCAAAACCTACTCAAACTGTAATTTAGAAGCCAGAACTGAAAGGGAATGACTTACTTTTGATGACCTGCACTGATTCATAAGGTCAATGTACTGGTTTCTTCCTATGCCAAGAAGTCTCAGACCTGAAAGAAAGTCTTTCCTTTAAAAACATTTACTACATCTTGAAATATGAGTATGCTTCCAATGATTTTAGGAAAAATCCTCAGTTTATATTCTTTTATTTATTGACTGACATGGTTCATCAACATCAAATTAATAAAGAATACTTCACACAATATAAATGAAAACTAAACTTTGGAAGCGATGAATTCAAGCTGTCACTTCCAATAATGCTAATGAGAAAGTACTTAAAAAGCACAAGTTCTCCCAATTTTAAAAGCATACATCTCAGCAGTTTCTTACATATAGAACTATGTCACGTTAAGTATGTACTTCACTAAAACAGCACAATCAATCATCAGCAGATTATGTCTGCAGAAACTGTGTGATGCTGTAAAATGTTGTGCACAGGTTTTCCTCCCTCATTTGGTATACACACAGCCCATATAACAGCAAACTTTAATCTACAATAAAGGTTAGTCCTTTCTTAGTCCTTATTTTCTGACTCTACCACTCCAGAATACTCTGACATTCAGACTAAATCTCACATTTGTTATGCAATAAAATTCCCATTAACCATTGTTAATGTTGTTAATGTTGTTCTCAACATTGTTTTCACATTATTTCAGGTTAAAAATACATCAAAATCCTAACAGATAACGTATGTACAAAGACACTATCTAAACATTACTCCTTCTGAACAACTAAATACTCACAGTCAGCAGCAGTAAAATTAGGCAAGGAATCATAACTTTTCTCACTGTTCATAATGTCCTTTTAAAAAGAAAAAAAATATAAAATATGAAATGCAAATCTCAGATAAAAATGTGTATAAATACACATTGTTATAAGAATACCTATTATTATGAGAAACACTAAGATCACAGAGGATACCCTAAAGCACGCATGCAACATTATGGTACTTACTCCATGGCCTCAATCTAGTAAATGGAGAGTGAACTTTGAGTCTAGGTTTCTTTTCTTTTTTAATAAACTTATTTATCGTGTGTGTGTGTGTGTGTGTGTGTGTGTGTGTGTGTGTTTTCCCTGCATGTATATAAGTGAACCATATGTGTGCAATGCCCATGGGCCTCAAATCCCCTAGAACTGGAGTTAACAAACAGTTGTTATCCTCCATATAGGTGCTGGGAACTGAGCCCGGGTCCTCTATAAGAATAGCCAGTGCTCTTAACTGATAAGTCATCTCTCCAGTGCCTGGGTCAAGGTTTTGTAAAACATTCTGAATTCCAGACAGTTTCCCCATAGCCTCTATTAGAGCTCAGGTTCCAGTCTTTTCAAACTTCATACCTGATCCTACATTCCTACTCTGACAGAAAGCCAATAATGTGTGAACTCTATCAACATGCACCCAAAATATGCACTACCGACAAAGATTCTCATGATTTCGTAGTCTTTGCTCCTGTCTCAACTAGTATCAGAGTTAAACTTAGTCACCACCCCAAACTTCTCCCAGTAATACCCAAATGTTTACTACAGGATAATACCCATTTTTAGCCCAGAAGGTATACCCAATCATAAAACTGAAATGAATGCTGATGAATGTACAAAATTCTGTTTTATTCCCCAAACCCTGTGGAGACACCAGAAAAACAAATCAGACAGCAGGAGTTTACTGATTAGCTGCCACTTTGTTAGACTACCCTGCTTCTTCCTCAGGCCACTAAAACTATAAGGCCTCAAAAAGAACTTCAGAACCATGAGACTGCAGAAGCACCTGCATAGGGTGGCTTATGGAGCCAAAGAAAAGCTCAGCCAACACCAGACAGAGCACAAGGGAACCAGCCTCCCCACTATACTGGTGCCCAGCTTCCTTGATTCTATGCTTTGCTCTTCCAGTATCTAGGGAACCCAAAATAGCAGCATTCAACATAATGAAACATTGAACAGTGAACAAATACTAAATATATACTATCTTTATATAAGCCTCACTTTAAAATAATACAGAGCTTGTATTAGAACTATTCAACAAGAAACAAGTATAAACTAGCTTTGGAAAAAAGCTGAAAACTAAAAGTTGGTAATTACAGAGATTAACAGTCAGGACAAGTGACACATTTCTCCTTCCTGACACGTACTATATAATGCTGGGTCTGTGTCATCATTTTTTCATACAGTTTGTGAATAAACACACTAAGCTTTCCTGAGCTTACTGTCCGATTCTGTAACCTACATTTTCAGTATTATAGACTGAAAGCAATAAATTCTGTACTAACTGTTAATATAAATAATTGATTAGTAACACAAGTGCACAAAGGGTCAACAAGACCTTCAAAAACAGAACAGAAACTGCTACCTTTCCAATGCAGAAACATCAGTAATGGCAACTACGTGTGCAAGAATGGCTCAGGGAGCTGGAAACCAGCAACCTTCTTACACTGTAACTGCAGACCCCATGACCACTGTAGCTGAGAACTAAAAAGCTGATACCAGATATAAAGCAGCCCTGACACGCAGTCACACCTCACTGTCAATGATTTGCTCTCACGGTAAACTCACCTCCATGATCCCAGTATAGTATGAAAATGGTGTTATCCTCAGGCCCTTCACCATAATATCCGATAAGTGGTAAGGGTAGAGCATGAGATGATCACGACTGTACTTCAGTAGTTCCTCATAGTACTTGCGTTCATCTTTCTTGACATGCTTAACTGCAAGAAACAGAAACGTTCTAGTTTTTCAGGAGTCTTACTACTACATAGTCACTATAACTGTAACATGAACTACTTTACGAACACCATTTTCAAAACTGTATATAAGCTAGACAAGTACAATTATTGGAACCAAGCACAATTATCAGACAAAAGCAGTATATTTAAGTCAAATGTAGTAAGACATGGAAGTAGAGAAAAGAATCCTTATCAAATCAGAAAACAAGAATACAACACCAAACATAAGCTGTAAGTCTCACACTCTTTACCATATCATCTTACTAGTTTTCAAGGAAGTACATTTTTTTAAAGGTTTTCTGGTTGGTTTTTATGGCACTAAGGACTGAAATCAGGACCTGGGACATGCTTGGCAAAGGCTCTACTTATCTGGCCTGATATTTATCTTCTCTTTTGAGATAGGCTCTCACTAGTTACTCAGTCTGACTTTGACTTCACTCTATAGGTCAAGCAGACCTTGAACTTACATTCCTCCCAAGTAACTGTGATTACAAGCCCATGCAACAAAACCCACCTTATTTGTGTGTATGTGGTGTGTATGTGTGTGTGTATACATATGCAAAGGTCAACCTCAAATGTCAGTCATTAACCTTAGTTTTGTTCTTGCTGACTTTACATTTGTGTGTGTGTGTGTGTGTGTGTGTGTGTGTGTCTACACACGTGTAGAAGTCAGAGGGTAACTTACAGGAGGCAGTTCTCTCTGTCCATGATGTGGTTCCTGGGTATCAAACTCAGGATGTCAGTCTTGGCAACAATTTTACCAATGAGTTATCTATCACATTAGCCCCCTACCTTGATTTTTGGTTGTTAGCCTTAGCTTCCCCCCCCCCCCCCCAGAGCTGAGGACCAAACACAGGGCCTTGCACTTGCTAGGCAAGCACTCTACCACTGAGCTAAATCCTCAACCCCAAGCCCAGCCTTAGCTTTTCACAGCTGTGCTATTCTTCCAGCCCTCTAACCTTGATTTTTAAGACAAGATCTCTCACTGGGACAGACAGAGGGCTCACCACTTAAGCCAGGCTAGCTGGCCAGGAAGCCACAGGGATCTGCCTGTCCCTGCCTCTCCAATGCGGCAATTACAAGCACACCACTATATCTGGCTTTTTATGTGAGCACTCAGGATTGAACTCAGGTCCTGGCACTTTACCACTGAGCTATCTCCCTAACCCCTATGTTTTGTTTTTTAAATTCGAAAAGCCGTCTGCCTTCAATGGAAAAAAATGTTTGCATGGAAAAACTCTCTGAAATATTATGCTTAAAAGTACCATATCATCACAACAGAAAAGAATAACCAAAGTAATCTGACAAAAAATAAGTATTTTAAGTGGAGTAAAAAAATCCATAGGAACAAGATTTGTTCCATCTCGAGGTCTGGTCATTTGCTCAGATCCCTGCATGCCCCAGACCTGCAAGTTCCCCCAGATCAAGTGATTAGTGCATCTCTCAAGTCTCACCAAAGAAGTTTCCTCAAGCAGCAAATGGTGATTAACATAGAGACCCACAACTGGCCAACATGCAGCGACTAAGAGACTGCAGACTGCTTAACCCTGAATAGGACACTTATTTCAAACCTCTGCCACCCAAGCCTTGGCAATCATTTAGGAAGAGGGGGTGGAAAGATTGTAAAAGCCAGAGGTGATGGATGACAAAAAGGAACGTTTTCTAGACAGCTGTCATTACCCATATGAACTCACAGGAATGCTGACAGCATGCACAAGCTAGATAAAATCCCATCATAGAAGTGGGGAAGTGGAGAAGGCCCAACCCTAGCTGACGAACTATTGGCAATCAAGAGCTACTGGGAAAGGGAGAGTCAGTTTTCTTTAAGGATGTGACACTGGATATGTTAACCAGGCTCCAGTAGATGGACTCACACCGAAGGGCATTTGGGAGCTTAAATTTGACCCTATAGGCCTTAATATATATAGCAGAGTACATGAAATCAGGTGGGGCATATTAAGGAAGCGTGAAGATAGAGGAAGAAGTCTAAATATGAGCAAAATATATTACATGAAATTCACAAAAATTCAGTAAAAATGAAAAAAGATTTGTTTCAGTTATTATAGAATTTTTCATTAAAGTTACATAACTCAGAAAATGTATGGGACAAAACAAAACTTGAATGATTAGGAACTGATGTCCTTTTCTTCTCTGGCATATTTTCTCATCTTAAGAGGATACTGAATTAAGATCAATTTATTTTATTTTTTTTTTATTTTATGTATACGAGTGTATTGCCTACATGTATGTGAGTGCATCGGTGTTGTGCAATGCTGCAGAGGTCAGAAGAGGGCTTCAGATTCCCCTGGAACTGGAGTTAAGGATGGTTCATAGCTGCCATGTGGGTACTGGGAATCGAACCTGGGTCCTCTGTAACAGCAGTCAGTGCTCTTAACCGTTGAGCTATCTCTCCAGCCCCAAGATCAATATCTTATAGAGGAAAATCAACCTATAAACGATACTCTACAAGTAATTTTCATCAAAATTAGAAAAATCCACTTGCCAATATAAATTGTTATTAGCTAGAAGGAAACAAAACAAAGTTTCTTAAAGTCCATATGTGGAATAATTTCAGACTTGTGAAGGATGTACTGAAAATACAAACTTGCACAAATGAAACTCAGCCAATGCCCATTTCCACCCCAATGTTAAAGCATTTCCACTTACCTAGGTTACTTCTGTAGCGCAACTGATTGCGGATACTGTACAAAACAACCTGCTTTTCATATTCCCGCTGTGAATTTCCAAGACTCTAAAAGAAATTTCATATAGCTATTAAACAGGTTCCAAAATGAACAGGACTTTTTCTACCATAATATTAAAAAAACATGACCCCTAATTTTATCCTGATGTCTCTAATGTCCACAACTGAAGAAAGAGTATTTGCTCAAGTTTTATCATGTTGAGTTTACTGCTATGACAACCAAAACAAGATCACATGCCTTTTTGCAGTGTGCCTTTCTAGGATGATTCACTAAAATTACCAAAAAATTTATATAAGACAGAAAAGCAGTATAAGAGCATAGCTTCACTCAGTAACAAAGTTGTGCTTAGCAAAGACTTCCTCCAGGACATCCCAAATTTGATGCATGTATGGCAGATGCTTTCTCACACCTTTTATGTAAATTTAAAGGTAACTAAGGACAGACAGATTCCCAACTCAGCCATTCTGAACTAAAAGCTATGATTATTAGAGATTTCTACAGAATATACATTTCAAATTTATGTAAGAGTGCTTCTTTAAAATGCCTTTTCCGGGCTGGAGAGATGGCTCAGGGGATAAGAACACTGGTAGTTCTTGCAGAAGACCTGGGATCGAATCCCAGCACCCACACGGCAGCTAACAACTGTCCGTAACTCCAGTTCCAAGGGATTCGACAGCCTCTTCTGTCCTCCACAGGCACTGTACGACATGGGTGCACTTACCTACGTGCAGGCAATACATGCATACACATAAAATAAATTTAAAAAATTAAAATGCCTTTTCCTTACAGCTTCATTAGAAGCATTTAGACAGCTTAGGAGTTCTGGTATACAGCTGCTCACTGGTATCCATGCAGCACTAGTCCCACCACCTTAAGGATATCAAAATCCAGACATGTTCCAGCCTGATGTAAAATGGTGTAGTATTTGCATATACCCTGTACACATCCTACATTCTCCTGGATCACCTTTAAGTCATCTTGAGATGACATAAAATCTAATAACAAATGCTATGTGAGAAGTTGTTAACTAGGAGTAACAGTAAGAAATATGTCTTCACATACAAGATAAACCAAGAAAATGTTTCAATATTTTCAATCAGTGACCACCAAATCAACAACGTAAACAAAATACTTTCTGGCTGTGCACTTGGTGTTTAAGTTCAAAGTTAGAGTGCTATGAAAGCAAAGAATAAATATACTTGATTACAGTCAACGTTACATTAGTGTGTGACCAGAGATAACTTAATATCTGGGTGCTCTCTCCCTTCTAATTACTAAGTATGGTTTTTCCAACACACTATAATGTGAAGCTAGACATCATTAACAACAGAATGATCAGAGGATTCAGGTCGTCGTATTTCTTACAGGTTTTGTAAAGCCAAAGCAAATGTCCACACACCTGTCTTTCACTTATGGCAATCACAGATGAAAAGCCTATCTAAATAAACTGGCCCATAACTGGTAGCACTGCCAGGAAATGATGCGAAAAAAATCAAGCATCTATCTTTCTTCCCACACTGGATGAGTTTAACAGAGGTTAAAGAGAGCTAATAGGCTCTGGTAGAATAGCTGTGTTCATGCTCTTTTCCCATTACAAGAGTTTTGAGCAGAATTTGTTTGAAGAAACTACTCTACCATCCTCTGCACAGCACCAAGGCTAAGGTCAGTACTGAAGATCATTTAGGGGATTCAAGATGGCAGGCCATCTGTTAAACCTTTCAGAAATTCCAGTAGCTCTACTGCCAAAGTCTCTTTCTCAGCAAACACAAAACACAATCATGCACAAGCACGCATCTTGCTACAAGTTCCAAACTTAAAAATTTTACTCTTCTGTTTTGAATAAAATCTTTTAAGGTAGCATTACTTAACAACCATTTCCTTCATTTCAAGTTCTATTCCTGGTATAGCAATTTTTCTTTATAGAATAAAAAGTACAATTCAAGCCACTCATGCAGAATATAAGGGTCCATTATTTTTGAGGCTTGCTAGTTAACAAAGGAAGGGAAAATGTTGGCCCTGCAGCAGTACTGTCAAAGTCTGGCAGAAGAAGCTGGGATGCATATAAAAAGAACAGCACAAGATGAAAAGGTAGATGCGGACAGGTACTAGCTACAAAGCATTAACTGTACTGCTACATTCACCGACTTTCTACAGCCACTACTCTGCAAACCCCACTGTGTACATCCTATTGGGTACACCTCTCCACAAAAACTGTTTCACAAATTGATCCTTGAAATCCATCATAAGATGTCCCTTTAAATAAAAGAACTACAAACTGTTTTGAATAATGAATGCAAGGCATTAGTAAACTACAGAAAAATCCTGAAAACAATGGCCCTACTTACCTTTATTTTTCCTGTGCTAGGGATTGAATCCATGGCCCCATGCATGCTTAGTGATTACCACTAAGCTAAATCCCAGCTTATCTACAACTTTTTAAGGCGTTTTTTTTTTTTAAAGTCTGGTGTGACCCATATCACCAAAAAATTTCTCATCTCACCCATATAAAAAAACTTGGCTTGTTTTTAAAAATCCAAGTTTCCTTCCCCTCAGCTTTCAGAAGTGGGAAATGAGTCATTTCCAAATTAAGCCCATCAATACTTACTGGAAATCCTATCAAAGTACTTAGTATTTATAACACCACAGGACAAATTCTTTCCATACAAAGAATATTCCCTTCTTTTAATATGATTGAGCTTTGGCTACCTAGGAAACATCTCAAACTGATGCCATCTGACAAATATCTATTAAAAGCCAACTATACACAGGTGTTTAGGGAACATAAGGTAAAAAAAGAATGTCACCAGAAAATGCACCGCTGTGGGAAATAACAGTACAATGGCAGCACGGTCAAGGGCAACTACTGCAGATCTAGGAGGTCAGGAAGCCTCCCAGGAGTGAGTCAACAAGAAGCTAAAGGGACAGATAGCAAGAGGACTAGGCTCAAACTTTAGACACCTCACTCTACCTGGGGAGTCAACAAGAAGCTAGACTAAAGGGACAGACATCAAGAGGACTATGATCAAACTTTAGACACCTCACTCTGGTACAGGTGAAGAGAGGAAGGGAGGGTCCTCTGCTGAGGGCAAGAGACCAGACAGAAAAGTGACCTAGGGTGGAGCTTGACCTCAGGAAACAGTGGGAAAGCTGGAGAAGGTCTAAGGGAGCAAACTTGTACAGACAGGTTCTGCAACCATTATAAATGCCACACAGTACAAACAAAAACAAGTGGTGCTTTAAGTGGCTTCACACACACAAAGTTTAATTTCATATTTGCACCAAATTTTAATATATCCTATGATTATTTTAATCATCATAAGTAAGCTTTAGAAAGCTTTTGCCAATACTACTTAAAATCAATTATTCAGGTTAGGCATAATCTAGTTATCTTTGACCACATTTGATGATGAGTCAAGGAAAAAACTGGAAATAATGGCTGGTGTTTGTTCTAGTGGTCTTCAGATACACCACCAAAGCCCTCAGGAAACTTAAGAGAAACTTGTTACTTCAGATTTCTTTACGTTTCAGAAACTGACATATTGATATATAAGAATCTCAAGTCTCTGAAGCCTATCTTCCCACTTTCTTGGGTTTTGGTGTCTTAAAAGCATTTTCTTAGTCATGTGATGCTCACCAGACCCTTATTTATTCCCTAGACCTAGGGGGTGGAAATCAAAAAACACAATAATCCTTAAACCACGATTGCCACCATTCCAAGCCTCCCCCAAAATACCATCCCTTCCCCGTCACCACGAGGAAACAGAAACTAACTGAAGGCCGCATATGTATCCCATATCCGTACCTTCTTAAGATGGTAAACCACCTTTTGTGTTTTGTTCTCCCTCCTTAGTTCCTTCACGGTCTTTCTTTACAAAAATACAAGCTCTAGGCAAGAAAGGTATTTGTCTGACTGCTGTAAATCATCTACACCCACAACAAGGCATAACATCTATTAGGTGTTCAATAAATATCTGTTAAACAGTAAAAATGCCGCTCAGCTTACGCATTAACTTCCAAAAAACCTCAGTTCACACTCCTGTTGATACATCACATCCCTAGTAAACGCGTCCTGCCAGGAGGATAAAGTCCAACCAACAACGCAAGGCACACAGACCTTTCAAAATCAGGCCCCGTGACTACACGACCAGTCTCATCACACATGCACTAAACACATCAAAACGTACACATCTCCGATGTGAGCCAAGTCAGTGAAAATGACGCTCCTTCTCCCGGGGGTTCTTCATTTCTTTCTTATTATTGGTCCTCCGGGGCCCAATCTAAAAGCCTTCTCTTACACAGCCTGCCAACTCTACTGGGCAATCTTACTCTCACATCCACTACAGCGGAGGCACGTCTGAACTGCTGTCACCCTGCACTCTGGATGCATTTTTCTCATCCCTCTCCCACCACCCTGAGGTTCTGGAGGTCAAGGGCTTTATTTTAAATCTCGGTAGCGCAGGCGCCTGATTGCATGGAGTCTGCGGCCAGGCACCGGGCGAGACAGATGGACGCCATTCCATCCTCTTAGGGAGGCCCACGCTGAGCCCGTGGCCCCAGAGCGTCGCCTCCTCGCCGGGGACCGAGGCCCGGATTTCCCGAACGACGGAGCCGGCAGGGATCCCACGGCCCGAGGAGCAGGTGACAGCGGTCCGGGACCCGGGTCCGGCCATACCTGCCTCACGTTGGCCGGCAGCTTGCTCCAGGGGTAGTTGTGCCGGATATGGAACTCCACGTCGATGTTCATGGTGCCGGCACCCAGGCCGGCGGCGGTGGCCGCGGCTGACTCGCAGCCTCCCGCGCGCCCGCGCCCGGTCCGTCAGGGGAGGCCGCGGGAGGCCGCGCGCCTAGGCCGAGCGGGCCCGGCGCCGCCCCATGGCCAGGCCTCCCACAGCTCCGCGCAGCGCGGAGCACGGGGCACGGCGACGGCGGCGACCACTCCGGAGCCTCAGCAGCTCCAAGTTTCTTCCTAGTTTCGGCCCGCCGGAAATGGCTCTGCGCAGGCGTCACTTCCGCCTGCTGGCGAGAGGCCGCGAGGTGGGGCTTCGGGAGGGTCTGTCCCGCCCCCTGCGGCCAATGGGCAGGGATAGAGGCGGGGCAAGGGCCGGAGAGGGCGGGTCAAAGGCGGGGCCTAGAGACCCCCGCGAGTCCTCGGGCTGCGGGAAGGCTAGCTCTCGGCCTCTCAGGATGTGAGAAGATGCTCTCTGGGGGCTGCACTGTGGCGGTTTCCCAAATATGTGACCCGGGTGGGCTTGTTTTAACCGGCGGCTAAAGGCACGGCGGTTTGCTGTCTGGAAAGGGGATATAGCTGGCTTCACAGTTGTGAAGGGAGGGAGAGTCGGGCCAGCTGGGCGGGAGGCGGGGAGAAAGCTCTAAGTCCCAGCGTTCCATCCCTTCCAACCCGTGGCTGTATCCACTGTATCCTGTGGAAGGAGAATGTTGAGCCCCTTCCAAGATCCAGGTTCTTAACATGTAGGAATTTCAGGGAGAAGAAATTGTAGCTACCTTTGGTCGCTTTTTAAAGGCAGAACTCTATCTTCATTTCGGTTCTCATGAGGTCTTTGAAAACAATTTTTTCCAAAATGTGTTACACTTTCTTAGCAACCTCATTGATTACTGGCAGCTAGACACAAGTAGGTGTTTCTGCAACTATTTTTCAGTTTTAAGCAATGTTTTAAAGTCAGATTTCCTTATACACTACAGATATGAACTCAGAAGTTTTAAGATGTTTAGTCCATACCTCAGCAACTGGCAAGTCTGAAGCATAGCAGAAACCCCACTGTATTTAATTAATTTAAATAATTGTGGTGCACACTGCCCTTGTATAGGTGTATTGGTCTCAGGTTATTTGACTGCAGTAGCTTTGAAGCGTGTTTTCAGACCTTTGTCAATATAGCAAAAGTTAACTAAACTCCGAGATGGAATATTCAAAAGTACTATCTGCCTAGTAAATATCAAATCCTTGTCTCGCAGTAGATTATCATAGCTCACTACTCTGAAAGATTGCCATGATTAGCAGCCCTGTATGATAGAAGAATGAAGCAAGGTTTCCAAGGGCTACAGAAGTTGTTCCCAAGATCACTGAGTATGACAGAGTCCTTGTTGTTTCACTTTAGTAGAACCACCCTTTGAATTCCCTCAAGTTCGGTACTCTTTGATGTATTCTCCCCCTAAATTTTTTATGATTCTAAATGCAGGACAACATATTCTTCAAAATCTTGTATCTAATACAATGTCATAAGTAATGAAAATTAAAGAAAACTTTGTTTTAAAATCTCTGCAACCTGGGCATAATGGCACATGCCTTTAATCCCAGCACTTGGTAGGCAGAAGGCTGGGGCCACAGGGAGACCCTGTCTCAAAAAGACAAAAAAAAATTAATAAAATAAACTCTCTACAAGTCATTATTTTAGCTGTTGATGACAACAGTTAAGAAGGTGTGAGCCTGTTGAATTCATCTTTTTGTCTTGTAAATAATACTAAATCTATCTTGGGCACATCAGAACTTAGAAAAGTCAGCAGAAGCTGATGGAGATGAACTGATGCCTGTTAATTGGTAAAGGCTAAATACTAGAGTTCATGGACCTTTGGAAGACTGACCATAGTGAGTCGAAAAGACTTTCAGTAAGTAGCTTAAAAAGTGCAAAAATTTGAAGGAGGAAATCGCAATAGGTCAAAGCTAGTGGACAGAAAGAAGATAAACAGAGATTCCTTAAGGGTAGGAACTGGAAACGGTTTGGTTTATGAAAATACACAATGTTAAAGAACTGAGCTGCCTCCTTTTCCCTCAAGGTCACCAGGACAGACTGGAAGCAAAACAGCTCATATACTTCATAAGCTCCCCTACAAGGTCCACTGCCCCTTCTACAGAAAGTTCGGGAACAAGACAGCTCCCCAGAAAGGAAAAGGTAGCTGCTCTCCGGGTTCCACATGCGGCACTCATGGCATCACTGGACCTTTTTGAAAAGCAGTATCTATTCTTTTGTGTTCCTGACTCAGGCCTCTGCCACTTCTGCTTCGCTGGGCCTTTACCTTTCAAATTCTAGAGAGATCAGACTACAGTGTTACAGGCCCCATCCCAGAGGCTACCATCCAAATACACCTTCTGGTAAAGCAATGTGTTCAGACATATGAATGTAATAGAAGCATTCTTATCCAACTGTACCAGATTGGATTAAGGAAAATAACCAACTGTCTTGAACAAACTATTTATTTATTTATTTATTATTTATTTGGTCTTTTTGAGACAGGGTTTCCTTGTAGCCCCAGCTGTCCTGGAACTCACTATGTAGACCAGGCTGGCCTTGAACTCACAGAGATCCACCTGCCTCTGCCTCCCAAGTGCTGGGAGTAAAGGAGTGTGCCACCATTCCCAGCACAAACTATCTTTTAAATTTTGATATGATCTCATGTAGCTCAGACTGGTCTTGAACTCACTATGTAGCTAAGGATGACCTTGAACTCCTGATCCTGCCTCTGCCTCCTAAGTATTGGGATTGCAGGCATGTGATACCATGCCTGGCTGCAATCTACTGTTTAGTAAGAATATAGAACTATTTCAGTCCCAAAACCTCAACAGAAATAATGAGAAGAAGCAAACTTTAACTAAAGAGCTATTGGTATGTCACCTCTCACAGACCCCAGAGTGGCATGTCCTGGGCAGGAAGAGCAATGGCTCCCACAGATGTCCAAGGCTAGAACCTGAAGTCTCATTTCCTTCACGGCAATGTGATTAAACTAAGACAAACCTACAATAGGGAGGTTATCTGGGATTATCTAAATGGGTGCATGCTATCACAGGGTCCTCAGATAGGGAAGAAGAGAGTCTGAGTTAAGGAAGGGATGAATGATGCAAGTGAAAGTCAGCAATTTGGGACCACAACCAAGTGCTGGGGAAGCTACTAGAAGCTGAAAAAGGAAATAGCTTCTCCCCTAAACCTCCAGAAGGACTTGGTCCTACCAAGACATTTTGAGTTTCAGGACTATAAGGTAATAAATGTTTAATTTCAAGTCACTAAACATGATAATTTGTCACAATAGAATAGGAAATTAATACACTCACCCACTTCCATAACAAACAAGTGATGCATTAAATTTTATAATTACAATCCTTGGATTCTAGATGTAAATAAATACCCCTTGGGAGGAATAATCTTTTTTTTATAATTAGCATTTTGAGAATAGATGAGCTGTCACATCCTTTTCTGAGAGTAATTTGAAATAGAAAAACTCAGGGATTAAATGAGGTCAAGAAATAGTTTCTAAAACAAAGCAAAAGAAGGAAGTCACTGTAAGCATTTTGAATTTCAGTTCTTCTGGCCTGTCCTTGGCCATGGGTTCCCATTCCAGATGTGCTTGACTCTGTTCTGTAACTAGTTCTTCTCCCCAGACACTTGGACTCAATGATCCCACCTCCTAGCTTTGTCCTTCCTGGTCCCTCTGCCTCAGATGCCTTTCCTGGACCTTGTACATTTCCCTACTTATATTGGAGATTGGGGTGGCAGCTCCAATACCTACTGTGCAGCTTAGTCCTTTCTCCTCTTCCTCTAACGCATTGCCTTGGTTCACGTTCTTTATTGCAAGGACTCACTGGCTGACATCCTATTTGGATAGGACTAGCAGGACTTTGTTTTATTCTCCAGTCTATCTCCAGAACCTTGAATTATGCTTCATGCATGGTAACTGCTCAGTATTTGATATATCAATGAATGGACTAAGTATGTGAGAGCTGAGCTTACAAATGTCATGTTGCCTGTCAAGCCTTACCTAACCATGTACCACATCTCCAGCCCTCTTCTGCCAACACACTGCATTATTTTTCTCCATAAAATGGAGCTACCACATATTGCCATCTAATGGAGTTAATAGGTGCTTTTGTTTTTTTTTAAATCATTTTTCCCCATTAGATCAGAAGCTGTCCAAAGCCAGAGACTTTTGTCTGTTTTGTTTTCAAGTTTACATCAGCTCATAGTAGGCAGTCGCTAAATATTGAGTGAATGAATAAATATGAATTATGAAGCAGAAATCTCATAAGAATCCAGGTTTGAGGATTCTCTTGAAAATTTGGAAAGTCTTTAGTGTTGGCTACCCTCTTTGCTATTGTTCAGTTACCTGAAACAGTACCGGGGTTTTTTCTACCAGCCCGAGACCCCTACAGATACACACAGAACTTTCTATCCTCTGCTATGAAAGCTGCTCACTATGGAAGTCTATGCTGAAGTGGAGAAATACTTCTGTACCCTTATCTGGAGCAATGAGCCAAAAATGTCAGCTAGACAGAGAATCCAAGTAATCCATCTTCTTCTGTCTACCCACTTCAGAAATATTAAGAATTTACAACTCCTTAGACACACCCTCCCATTTATTTACTCTCTTTGTGTTTTTGTATATAGAATACCCACCTCTGTGATGATGCCCATTTCCCTACCTGGGAAACTTTGTGTATTTTCACTGAATGGAACTCTAAAGAATCCAAATGTGACGGTGGAGACGTGGGAAGGAGCAAGATAACAGGGGACTATCTTCCTTTACATTATGTGTTTCTAGGAATAGTGGAGCATGGTGTTTCACACCTGTAATTCCAGCACTCCAGAAGCTATGGCAGAAGGACTTCCGAAAGTTTGAGGCTAGCTTGAGCGATACAGTGAGTTCAAAGCTAGCCTGAGCTAAAGAGTGAGACCCTGTCTCAAAAGGAAAAAAGCAGAAAGGGGAGTTTCTGGAATTTTTCTTTTGCAAATGATAAACAAGGAAATATAAACCTGTTTTGGAGAAAAGAAGACAGATGTCATGCCATAGATCTTTTGAAAAAAATAGATTCACATATCTGCATATAAACAGGAGATGTTCGGTCTGCCATCTGTGGTCAGTTTGTGTTCTGAACATTTGTGATCTGGTGTGGGAATGAAGATGCGGAACAACTGTAATAGTGAACTTGGCCACCAGGGGATGATCTCATACAACATTTCTATGTCTAAACCCTCAAA